GATAGTTACATTAAGTGGCAGGAATAGCACAGATTGTTGATTAGACATGGCTCACTTGTTGTGCATTTCAGGAAAAGAACTGCATAGCAGGAAAGGCTTTTACTGGGGTATTTATTATCTTTATAACATTGGGGAGTTGGCAGAAACCTGCTTTGCTAGGTCAGAGTGACCTAGGTGACTGCAGTCTCACGCCTGATGCTTGATGTATTCCCTGGGTCACAAAATTCTTTTGGTATTTTATAGTTTGCTTTGTTTACTTAGAATGGCTTTATATGAGTGGAGTTCCTAGGCATATTCTTGGAATATGCATCTATTCCTGACACATAGTGAATTATCATTGAGATCTGCTGAGTTTTTTGACATGCTGCAACCTCAAATATTTAAGACTTGACAATTCCTTTCCCTTCCTACCTTATTTATTTAGTATAATAGGGATTTTGCTTATATATACACTTATATAATTTAAAACTACTGTATCATTACTGCATGTGCTTCCAACACAAATAGTACATTATGAGAGTTTGATTTAAAAGCAACATGTAAAGAAATGATATAAAGGTAAACCATAATCTAGACAGATGTGTTTGAGAAAACAGTTTTGTGAATAATTTGCAAACATATTTGGAAAATCTATAAAATGAAAATGATCTTGGAGTAGTAAAAGAGGTTTTTAATGCTCTATACTTTATGAAAAAAAGATTTTTATGTTTAGCATAAAAATGTTTTATGCTGAAAATCAAGCTAGCTACTTTTACTCCTTTAACCCACTCTCATCATCATTTTCATCTAACCTGATTCATTTGTTGTCATTTATTTTATCCTTTTTTTTTTTTTTCACCTTTTGCTCTCTGTAACTTTGAAAAGGTTATGTAGACTTCTCTGGACTTGAATTTCCTTTTGTATAAACTGGTAATAATATAAACATCAAAGTGTGTCAGGTAAGATGGTAAACAAAACAATATTTCTGCTCTGTAGGGGCTAAAATTGTCGTGGTAAGAGAATAACAATAAAGTAAAGAAGAAAAGATGCAGTCTGAAAGGTTTTTTTTCAAAACAATGTTATAATAATAAGTAAAAGGAATTAGGGCAAAGAAGGCTTCTCTGATAAGATCATTTGAGCAGAGAACTGATAGAGGTAAGGGAGGGAGTTAGAAGGACATCTGGGAGAAAACCATTTCAAGCAGTGGAAATAATAAGTTCAAAGATCCTAAGGGAGAGGAATGTCAGTCTTGTTAGAATACAGTAAAGATCAGAGTAAGACCAAAAAAGGACAGAAGAGTGTGGGCAGTGATTTGAGGTACAAATCATGTATGAACTCAAGGTTATTTTGAGGTCTTTAGATTTTATTCAAAGTGAGATAAAAAGCTATTAGAGTAAGAATAACATTATCTGACTTAACTTAAAGGTACATGAAAAGGCCATAGATGTTTTTAAGACATAGGTTAGCAATTAATTTCATAAGCAAGAAACAACTAAATTCATAAAGAAAAATGTTACTGAATTTGGCTGTGTTAAAATTAGTCTTCTGCTTGATAAAATCATTAAAAAGAAAAGCCATAATGCAGTAGAATCTGCATGTAGCACTTCAGTCAATTTGTGTTCAGAAAAAGTGAAAGACATTCTACAAATTAATGAGAAAATAAGATTTGCTAAAGTTGGCAAAAGAAAACAAACAAGCATGTACAAATGATTGAACACAAAAATAAGAATGAGCATATCAAAAGATGCTCAGACTCAAGTGGGGAATATTAATGCAGCTCCCCACTTACCTGTTTGATAAAATGAATAGTACAAAGGTACTGTGTTCATTGAATATAAGAAAAATGGAAATTCTTACATTGCCAATTTTTTTWAAAAAATATGATTATGCCTAACAAATTTGAAAATACATAAACCTGACCTCAAAAATTCTGTGTCCAGGTGTACACCCTTCACAAAAAATAATGTGCATTAGGAGAACTATAAAAATATATCTTTGTAAGAATATTTGTAATAGCAAACATTGGGAACAAATTGAATGTCATCAATAAGAGAAAGCAGTAAAATATATTGCACTCTTATGAAAAAAATGTTTAAATTTTTATGAAATTAAAAAGTATTTTAAATAAGAAGCCATTGCTCACAATTCAGAGGAAGAATAGTAAAAATTGAATGAAGATATATCCAGTTACTATCCATTAAAATATACTTTTGAGTAATATAATTTTCACTGAGATAGTGTCTGTATGTTTATGTGTATAAAAATTTAACCTTGAGGATATCTTAATATATGGTTTTTGATTTTAAAATTGTCAAACATTTAATTTTSTAAATTTTATTTTCCCTAGTAATAGAATTAATGCCACCACCACCCCCCCCCCAATTTTATTAATGGAATTGGGGAAAGTACCTAGAGTCATTAAATGAATATGTCTTATTTTTATTGCCATTTATGTTTTAAATATTTACCAAGATGTTTGTTATGGCTAAAATGTTCTAGAATTCTAGATGAATTATCAGTAGATCAAATATGTATAATGTGTGTATTCAAATTTATATAAGAATATAAAAGAGAAAAAGAAGATTAAAGGCGAATTGTAATAGGATCCACATTGGTCCCATCTTTCTGCACCAAACATCTGCATTAAGCAGTAGACATTCTCTACATATGAACATTTTTAGTGATACAGATCTTTAGTTCTTTTTTTCTGTCATTATTTACAATGTGCTATGATTAGGAAAATTTATACAGGTAGATCGTCCAAAACACTATAAAATAATGAGTCCTGAAGGTCTACAGACTTGTACTGGTACTACAAAACAGTCATTCCCTCATTGTTATACAAAATTACATATAAGAGGATGTGAGGGGAAAGGAAAAAAAACAAAACAAAACAAGGGAGAGAAATGAATTACAGTAGATGGGGTAGAGAGAGAAGATGGGAGGGGAGGGGAGGGAAGGGGGATAGTAAAGGATAGGAAAGGTAGCAGAATACAACAGTCACTAGTATGGCAATATGTAAAAACATGTGAATGTGTAACCGATGTAACACTGCAATCTGTATACGGGGTAAAAAAAGGGAGTTCATAACCCACTTGAATCAAATGTATGAAATATGATATGTCAAGAGCTATGTAATGTTTTGAACAACCAATAAGAAAAAAAAACAGTCATTCTCTCAACCATATCCTTTGCAACATGATTGAAATTCAGTAATATCTAAATGGTAGCATTTGAGGGGTGTGGGGTGGGGGACAGGGCAGAACTTCATAGGGCTGATCAGGTGTTTTTCTCTGGTATACCTAAGCTTCCAAACAAGTTTTGCTTGTTTTTTTTTTKTTTGTTTGTTTGTTTTGTTTTGTTTTTTCCCAGAAAGGGTTCCAATACTATAAATAGAATAGTTTGAAAACCTTCTGTATAGAGAGCTCTTTGTAAGCAAAAATGCGTAACTTGTGGAGTCAGGTATTTATTATGCAGAAGTTGGTTAACACAGTCATGAAAACAGAGTCAAATGCAAATAATTTATTAATAATCAAATTCAATAATGTGGTTATAAAAATTGACTCAGTGTAGAAACATTTACCTGTAGAATTTTCTCTGACCTCTAATTAATTGTATAGATATAACCCAGTGATATCCTTCCAGGTTTTGCTATTGGGAAAGAGGTATCCTGCCTCTATTACTGTGTGTCTTAGACTTATTGATACTATTTGTACACATATAACTAGAAATAAGAAGAAAATCAAAGCAAATGGAGGAATTTCTGGGCTAGAATTACTTTATTTTTTCCTTCATTTTTTTAACCATTTAGTCTTTGAGCAGAATACATTATAAATACATTTCCAGAATTGGTGGGTTCTAAATCTTAACAGTAGACAATGTTTAAAATGTTGTAATAACATGAAGAAGGATGTTCGTAGTTGAAATGCTCCCATGATTTTCTTAATACCTGATATCTTTCAACATGGCATGAATAAACCCATGATTTGAAAGTAGACAAAAAGTAAAGAAGATATTTTGTGTTCTCAGTCTCAGTTTTAAAATGGCAATTAACTGACTAGCTATAGGACCTGCTAAATTTGTTAAATTGTTTTTTACTGGATCCTCAAATTTTCTAAGTGAAATGATATCTGACTTAAGTATTTATCTAACTAAACAAAATCTATGAAACAACACATTTAAAATTCAAGCATAAAAAAGCAATTTAACACAGAGACACACACTGTGAAAAGGAAAAAAGCCAACTTTAATACATTCTCATTTTCTAGGAATTCAATGAATTTTGTCACTGTCTACAAGTGGTATGGTTTAGATGTGAGGTATCCCCCAAAAGCTCAAGTGAGAGACAATGCAAAGAGGAGAAATGATTGGGTTATAACAGTCTTAATCCAATCAGTGAATTAATTTCCTGGTAGGGATTAACTGAATAGTAGGGTGTGGATGGAGGAGGTGGGAATTGGGGCATTCTTTGGGATATGTATTTGTATCTGGCAAGTGGAGAACTCTGCCTCCTGGTCACCACAGTGTGAGCTGCTTTCCTCTACCACCCTATCCTGCCATGTTGGGCCCTAAGGAATGGAGCCTGCCTTCTGTGGACTAAGACCTCTGAAACCATGAACCCTCAAATAAATTTTTCTTACTCTATAGTTGTTCTGGTTAGAACCTTTAGTCAGAGCTGTGAAAAAAAGCTGACTAGAACAGAAAGTAACACAATTTTATGTATAGCAACATGAAATGTTAGAACTGGTTTTGAAATTTCTTAAAGTGTTATGAAAGTTCTGAATTTAAAGAGTATTTAGAATTAAACTCTCAAAATCTAGCATATTAAAGAACTCTAGTTATAAATATTAAAACTTAAGATATAAATAAATAATGGTCATTTTATGTAATGTAAATATGAGTTGCATTTACCTGTGTTTGCATTTGTAATTTAACCATTCTGGAACACTGTATTCAGTTCCAGAAAAAATTATAGATTTTATTGGCATGTATTTCTACTGTCTCCTTGACAACTACTACAGATGCTGCTATCACCATGGGAATGGTTCTTCTAAATGAAGCAGCAACTTCCAAAGGAGATGTTGGAAAAAGACGGAGTAAGTCTCTATTGGTACTATTTTAATTTTGTTTTTAGCTTGAAGATTTTTTTAAAGCCAATGGGAAGTATAGAAAACTTTCTTTATAAACATAAACTTCTAAAGAAGTAGTATAATTTGAAGAAGTTTAAGATTTTTCTGTTTCTTGGATGTTTGTGTGAATATACTTGAAAATGTTATTTCTTCCAAAATGGGATTTGGGTGATACTCTATGGAATTATATATAAAAAAGAGATGCCATCACCCTTGTCAGGGATGCCTTGATCCATTTCTGCTGAACCATTGTCTTTGTAATAACATCCAGACTACAGAGATAGAAAAAAGAATTTCTGAGTAGCATCTTCAGAGATTTTATTGGCACATAATATGTTCCTTATGTTGGGATAATCAAGGAGCATTAGAAACCTGACTTGGATTGAGGGGTGCTTCTGCATAGGTTTTATACTTAAATATCATTCTTTCCTTCCAATTTCCTTCAGACCTTCTTTTATCAACCTTTTTAAAAGGAGGTCATCTTCTGATACTATCTTTTTCTGGGGCTTTGCTTTTCCATTGATATACCAAGATATACAGCTCTATCAAGTTCCAGCTTTATGATTTTAAATAAATTAACTGTTTTATCCTTTGATTAAATGATTCTTCTCAGAGGGTTTTAGAAAAACAAATAGTTTTATAAGGTAACAAATTTTGGTAGGTAAAAAACAATGCACAAGAAATATATTTTTTCCTGGAAAAACATAGATTAGCAAAGAAAAGAGGCCTTAGAGTCAATGTTTTCTCCCATAAGCCTTTTTATAATTAAGTCCATACATGATTTTATGATTATACCTCCACAAAACTATAATTAAATTTTTTCCAATACATTTTGTATTTCTGAACACTTTTTAAGACTCAGAGTTTCTGTTTAAAAGCATAGGTATCTGAAGAATACTACTAATTTTTTAAGATATTTAAAATAAAAATCTAGGTATTTTCTTTGAGATTTTTAACACATATAAATGTATATAAAGGAATCAGCGATTTTTTTAATACTTGAAAGTGTTAAGTATTGAAATGTTTGGATGTGTAATGTACAGTCAAAATTCACCTCTGTTTTCCCTTGATACATTCTACACACTGTTGTAAAGAAACTACAGGAGAAATGAGGGAATTACTTTGCTTCTTTAAACATTGTTGAGGATCGTAAAATGATGTATCTTTTGAATAAACAAGGTCGTGTTCTTGGGATTGATCAATCACGCTTATGAGGACATACTCTTAATGTGATGATATATTTATCTTATGTCCTGTCATATCAAGGTAAGTAATAGTAATAAGAAATATATAAAGTTTTTAATCTCACAATATGCATGATACAGTAGAGTTTATAAAACCACTACTTCCAAATTCCCTCTTGATAGATGTTTCTATCATGACTCGTCCCAATTACCTCCAAGTTTTGTATTCTTGTGTGCACATGGATACATGTGTGTGAGAGTGCATTGTGCACATGAATGAATTGGAAAGTATATTTTTAAATTACTACTTTTGGATTCAGATGTGATTTCTTCCTTTGATATTGCATAACTGCTATGATTATTAATATTGCCCAGTTCAAAATGCTTCCATGTCATCATGGCATTTTCTTCTTACAGGTGTGTTTTCTCATGATCTGTCATGGTTCATTTATTATTCTGCACTATGCTCAGTTCTTCTGACTTCCCCATGCACAAACACTTGAGTCGCATTATTTTGTTCCACTGCCTAATATTAAGTAAATAAACTGTTTTACTTGATCACATATTTTGAGCCTCATCACTCATTTGAGCACAACCTAGGAGGCTAGCTAACAACAGTGAGGGCATAACAAAGAATGCTTTATCCCTCTTCTGAAAAAATTAAAAAGGGGACATAAAGGAAAAGAAGTGTTTGGTAAAATATCTTAATTTGGAAAAGTATAAAGTAAAGCATTGTGTAATTCTAAGATTAGTAATATTGATGTAAGTGGTTTTTCATATGTTATGTCTTAGGGTCTGGTGTCTGTCTTACTTGGCTATTGTACGATTTTTTGAAAGCACGTTTTTCATTTGTGGTATTTGGGAACCTTTTTTTTTACTTTATTTTCTGCTAATATTCATTTCAAGTTCAATTGCATCAGTGTTGTCTAAAATGAGAGGTCACTGAGGCTACAATTGGATACAATTAAATGCTTATGTTTTATAATTTGTACTCTAAACTTAGATATTCATGCAGAGTTGAATGAAAATTGGCATAGTAGACCATATTTTGGCAGTGCTGTACCTTATCTACTCACTGATTTCCAGGATTGAGATTAAACCTGGATTCATTTATATGCCAGGAAAAAATTTAAAAATCATATTTCATTGTTATAGAAGCATATATGTCCATTTAATTTTCCTTTCTTCTTCTTCCTTGGTGTTTTTAATCTCTTTTCTCCTGTCTTCCTTTCTTTGACAGTTATTTGGGATATTTTATAAAACCAGATTTAAGAATTCCCTGAAACTAATGAAAGGATATAAGTATTGTAAAAATTTTTTTAAATATGTCTAGATACTTCTTATTGAGTATTAAAAAACACATTAGTTTCTGATTTTATAGAAATTCTATAATTCTAATTTTAAGAAAAAACAATTTCTCATTGTGTAAAACAGATTTAGATAGAGTTTAATTTACTTATRTTTGTTTTGTTTCATTCTAAACATACCTACATTTAATTGGCTTAGACTTTTAAGCATTTAAATTTGATAAGCATGTTTAGATATATTTTACTAGTAACAATGAATCTTCTTTAATTAAATATCAAAAATGTACATGCAAAAGAAACATAATAGATTTTATCAATCATTTACTTTTGAGTAAAATCTTCCCAACCATAATAGAAAGGAAATGAAAAAAAAAAAAGAAAGTATTGTCAGCTTTTCTGGTACAGAGTAATATAGAAAACATGGACCACAGCACATAGTACCATAACATATGCCTTTTGTTTCTCTGTAAAACATACTGAAATACCCAGACATTATTACCTGCTTTGGGAAGGAGGGTGGTTCTCCCTTTTGCTCTGAGACCTTATTTTCTTACTCTCCCAACTTTTATTTCTAGCTTTATATAGGCTAAAATGAACTATTTTTTAGTAACATGCTTTTATACTGAGGCAAAAATCTAACCAGTAACTTAAAATTATATTTCTTTGTGAATACTGCATGGCATCTGAGAAGAATAAAATTTAGCATTTCTAATAATGCAAATGTTCCTGCTGTTACAACCAATACTTCAAAATGCAGGGGCTGATAATCTTGTTTATGGTTTGTTATATTTTGTTTTGTTTTGATCCCTTTGGGGCATTTTAGTACTTGTAGGAACTCTGTTAAAAGAAGAAAACTACCAGAAGACTTAGATAAGTCCATTTTGTTGTTTTCATACCCCAAATAGTAGATTTTCATTGAGAAGAATGTGGAAAATAATGAATACATTGTATTGTGGATTATCTGGTTTGTTGTACCTGTGTGTGCCATGAACTATTAAATGTAAGTATTCTGTAAATTGGATGCATTTTAAAAATATGAACATTTGGGTTGTCATTGCATGTGTTTAGACTCTAATGGCATTTTCTCTCTTTTTCTAGTAATTTGCCTAGTGGGATTAGGCCTGGTGGTCTTCTTCTTCAGTTTTCTACTTTCAATATTTCGTTCCAAGTACCACGGCTATCCTTATAGGTAATATCTTTATATTATCATGAATGGTTTTATATTTAACTCAGAATAAACAGAATTTCAGTAGTTGGTATATAATTAAGGATTAGTATAAGGTAGCTAATTAATTTGCTGTGTGGTCTTAAATTCAATTAAGCAAATAAATTTTTGAGCACCTACCATGTGTTCAGCATAGTAGACTATACAAAGGAGATATAAGGCATATTCCTGTTCCTAAGGTACAGTTTCACTTTAGGGATATATCACTGTATATTTATATGCACATATAGTGAAATGAGTTTTAAGCTCTATGGATTTCATCAAAATTTCTTCTTTCTTTGGTTTGCATATTTATCATGATTTTGACTTCATTTGCAAGATTATTTTTTCATGTAATTTCCCAGTGTCAAATAAACATTCATCATCTTTTGAATTCAGCAAATTTATGACTTTTCCAAATAAGAAAAGCCAACTTGAAAGAGAAAAAAATAAATGATAAACTAATCTCTGGTCACTAAAATTCATCATAATGAATATCTTGTAAGGTTTTCACCAACATGTTGTCCAAATTGGAAGATGATGAAAATTCAATCTGAGATCATATTACTATTACCAAATCACACTGACTAAAGCACACTGCAGTAAATGTGTCAGATTACACCTATTGAGTTTATGAATTAGGCATGTTTGTCTTTTGGGCATATTCCTGCCTTAGCTTTTTTTTTTTTTTTTAAGAAATAACTTTTACTTTCTCTAGAGAATTCTTCTTATAGATTAACCTATGTTTCTCTCTTATAAAGAAATAAAAGCCATATACTTCCTTCCTCAGAGACTTTAAAGACCCTATCTGCTGAGGTGATAGAACCAGTGAAATGTGGTTAGAAAAAAAAAAGCTCATTATACCTTAAATATACCTTCCTCACATGAACAGTGGACATTTTTTTAAAAAATTTATTAGTGCATTATAGTTATGCATAATATTGGAATTTAACATAATTATCCAAAGCATGGAATTTAATTTTCTCCAGTTCAGTCTCAAGGATTTCACATTTCCTGTCCCTTCTCCCTCCCTCTGATGCCTTTCTTCAGTGAGTCCTTCTTCTATTTATTTATAGTTTTATTTTTAATTTAGTGTTTTATAGACATAAAGTGAAATTAACTGTGGTATATTTATAAATACAGTGTGATTTTGTCACATTCAATCTACATTTCCTCCCCCTTTCATGTCCCTCCCTCCTTTCTCCTCATCAGTCTCTCTTCTACTTCATTGACTTTCCATGTATCTTTATATCTGACCGCCGCCTCCTTGCTTTTTCATCTCCTTTATTTTGCTGTAGCTTCTTCATATGAGAGAAAACATTTGACCCTTGACTTTCTGGGTCTGACTTATTTCACTTAGCATGATATTCTCTAGTTCCATTCATTTACCAGCAAATGCCATAGTTTCATTCTTCTGTATGGCTGAGTAAAACTCCTTTGTGTATTTATACATTTATTTATGTATTTGTCTGTTGACATGTGTCCAAGCTGTTTCCATAACTTGGCTATTGTGAATTATGCTGCTATGAACATTGGTGTGGCAATATCCGTATAGCATGCTGATTTTAGATCTTTTAGACATATACCAAGGAGTAGGATAGCTGGGTCAAATGATGCTTCTATTTCTAGTTATTTGAGGAATCTCCATATTGCTTTCCAGAGTGRTACTGATTTGCAGTCCCACCAATAATGTACGAGTGTACCTTTTTCCCTACATCCTTGCCAACATTATTGTTTTCTTGATAATTGCCATTCTGACTGGAGTGAGATGAAATTTCAGTATAGTTTTGATTTGCATTTTGCTGATTGCTAGAGATGTTGAATGTTTTTCCATATATTTGTTGTTCATTTGTATTTCTTTTTTTGAGAAGCATTAGTTACTTTGCCCATTTACTATGTCTTTTTTTTTTTATTTGACTGTTCATGTTTAGTTTTTGGTGGTTTTTTCAGTTCTTTATATATTCTTGATATTAATCCTCTGAGGAGCAGATAACAAGCATCTTTCATTCTGTAGATCCTAAGTGTTTACTGTATAGAAGCTTTTTAATGTGATGTCATCCCAATTATTGATTCTTGGTTTTATTTCTCATACTTTTGAAGTCTTGTTAAGGAAGTCAGTGACTTTGCAAATGTGTTGAAGTTTCTGGCCTACATTTTCTTCTAGCAGTTGCAGGGTTTCTACTCTAATTCCTAAATCTTTGATCTACTTTGAGGTGACTTTTGTGCAGTGTGAGAGAGGGGAGTCAAATTTCCTTCTACATTTGTTTTCTTGAATTGTTCCTGTTTTTAGAGGAAATGCTTTCAGTTATTCTACATTCAGTATGATGTTGGCCTTGGCTTTGTTGTATATTGCCTTTAGAATACCAAAGTAAGTTTCTTGTATCCCTAGTTGCTCTAGTGTCTTAAACATGAATGGGTGCTGGACTTTGACAAATGCTTTTTCTGCATCTATAATCATGTGATTTCTAGCCTTAACTCTATGTGGTGAATTTCGTTTATTGATTTGCATATGTTGAACTAACCTTGTTTCCCTGGGATAAAACCCACTTGATCATGGTATACTGTCTTAATGTATTTTTGAATGGTTTGCCATTATTTTATTAAGGATTTTTGCATCTTTGTACATTAGGGATATTGGTCTGAGTTTTCTTTCTTCCCTGAATTGTCTTTGTCTGGTTTTGGTATCAGAGTGAGGCTGGCCTCATAGAAGGAATTTTAATGTTTGTACATGCATGATGGTAATGGTATTTAGCTTTATATTTAGTATTATCTGGAAGACAAATAATCCCATAAAAGGGATATCTAATTATGGAATTATATAATCCAAGTGTAAGTCTTCAATGCTACCTGTTTTCTCACATGGATGAAGGTACAGTTCTAATTCTCTTCTTCCCACATCCATTAAAAATAAATGTATTGTGGGAATAGAGGCAACGTGGGTATCAGATCTGAGTTGTGGGATCATCTACTTTAAACTTTGTCAATGATATAAACTTTTTAAAACATTATTTCTGGGGGCAACAACAGACAAAGTGTCCAGTTTCTTTCATTTTATCCTTAATGTTAGCCAGCCAGCCAGTTTTTTCTCTGAAAATGTGAAAGTATTAAATTAATCAAATTCAGGACAACTAGTACTTTAAGAAAGATGAAGTTACTTTTTCCCCCCATTCCTCCTATCTTGGGATTGGGAATTCTGGTGCTGTATGAATTTTCTTAGTTTGACATATACTAGTTCTATAACAGAATCTGTAAATAAAGAGAAATACTCTGTATTTTTAAGTCTTTTATCTAGAATACCAAGAGCATTTAAATATCAATTCATTTTGATCTATAGCACTTAAAATATGTCAAAGGTAAAGATTGTATCTCTATATTCATTAAAATATAAACTACAGTAACATCTGCTGTGAGATCTTAAACCACATTAGTTGACAGGAAGAAAAGTAAATAGCAAATTCTAGCTTTCCTTGAATTTCAGATCACATTATCATACTAGAATATCATTTACTATGTAGATTATTTTGACTAGCAATATGAGTAGGAAAAGTAGAGAAAAAAATTGAGATTTACCAGTTCCTTATATTGTTATTTTTGATGGCAGTATTTTTTGGAATTATATGAATAGTTTTCAAGTTTGTGCTTTCTTTCAAGTCATGACAGTCATTTACTACAATAACTCTCTACTACTCTGGGTTGTTTTTACTTTTTTTTTTTGCTTGTTTTTTTATTAACCAGGTTAAACATGTAAACCACCTGAGAAGCTTTTCCAAATTCATATTGTAGGCTTACCCAGATACACATAGTAAGCATATGTAAAATAGGATATACCTATTGATTTAATTGTAACTTTCTTACGTGTAACTGGTCCCATGCTCTTGCCAAGATTCTACCATCCTAACAAGATAGGAAGCCAGCTGAAGGCAAGCCTAAGACTTGAAATGTATATCAGATCCTCTTTAAAAAAAAAAAAAAAGGAAAGGAAATCATGGCCACTAATGGCTTATGAATATGAAATTTTACATAGTTTGATGTAAATCCATAAATAAACGAGGAGCTACCAAGTAAAGAATCACAACAGAGACTCAGTGTGCCAAACTGAGGTGTGGTATAGAGAAGTGAAAGGGAGACTTCTGGGTGCTGCAGTGGCCCTGCAGTGTTGTCTTTGATGTGCTGTTGTGTGGGTTTACCAGGTTGGTTTAAATATTCTAAATAGCATTTGGCTGATCTGTGGGGCAATTTTAGATTTAAAYGGCATACAGATAATTAAGCCATTTTAGAAAATGGGAGGTTTATGATAAAGGCATGGAAAGAAGTAAAGACAACTAAAAGCCTACTTGCCACACAACTAGATATCAGAGAAAAAAGGGTTTAGAAAACAGGTCATAAGGATAAATTTGCTGCCCCTATTTTATGCTGCAGAGGTGACAGAATTACTTGGAGGTACAAACCTCTAATTTTTCTACCACGGTAGTTGAGTAATTTCTTTTCACCTCTCCCACCCTTGCTACCATGAATAATTTGTGAACTTTTCTGAGAAGGGCCTGATTTCTTAAGTTTGTTACTCCCCAGTATGTGGCATGAAAGTTAAAGAGAACTTTCATTATTCCTCCTGATCGTAGGCCCTGGTCCTCCCTCTGAACTCCTTAAAGGTATCTCCATCACCACAATTTCTTTCCATATTCATTAGTGTTATCTGTATATGTCAGGTGTCTGACTTTATTGGTGCCATTCAAAGCTGAATGTAAATTAGGCATCTATTTCCATTGAAGGGAAGTCAAATAAAATGACAGATGCCTACAAAAGCATTAAGTGAACTGAGCAGTATTCAATTCAGCTAATTTGTGTATGTAATATAGCTTTTGAAGATACATCGTTCACTTTCCTTAGAGGTAGTTCTCAAAACTGACTTCACAAATACATGTAATGACCTCCATGAAATGGCAAAAATAATTGAATTTTTAAATGACATGAGTTAGCATCTATAT